CCACTAGGAATGGAGGATACTTGTTGCTTGAGATTTTGAAATTCTGGGAATTCTGCTGAATATTTCCTGAGCTTAAAATGCCCTTTGTTCATTGTTACTGTCAGGATAATAAGTAATAAATTTACTAGTTGGGATAATAAGACAGTTTTGCTGGGGAAGGAAAAACCATAAGATGATGAGCAGCRTTACTGTGTGGGTGTGAGGGGTGTTTGGAGGCTCCAGCTCCACAAAACCTCATTCCCTCATTTCATCCTGGTCACTTGGGTTTATGTCACTTTTGTATTGACACGTTTGAATGGGATGAGACTTTTATTCTATTTTCATCCTATTCAGAGGAGATTTACCTGATACACCCCAAACTAATCTGATTACAGCCATACCTTGCACAGAATTCCATAAACTCAGCACACTTGTCTGCTAAAGCAGGGAAGGTTTTCTGCTCCTGCACCTCCTGAAGTGTTTGCTCAGTTTCAGAGCACAAAAGGCGATTATATTTTTCAAAAGCCAGGCCAATGAAGAGAATGTAACCTTGAATGGCTCCTGGCAGGAGCAGTCACATGTGTTTTGATTAACTCTGCACCAGTGCTGTGTACAAACAGAGCAATTCTGCGATGCTCACAATTAACGGGGCCTCAGATCTGCCTCTCTGGTGATTGCTTCTGCAGAGAGAGAGAGAGACACCTTCAGTACACAACCCCTCCAAAAACCATGTCCCACAGAGYCCTGCAGAGCCAGGGATGGATGGATTACACTGCACACGAAATCCAGGATTGTGGTTTCACAGTGACCCAGACCTCCTGGAGTGGTTCATAAAATATGGGATTGTGATTGATGCACACAAATGGCTTCCTGTTCCCCAAAATCTGCCGTTCCACCCCGGGAGAGGGCAGAGCATCCAAACCCACCAGTGCTYCCTGTTGGGAGCATCCCTGTGGTGAGCACCCTGCAGACAGCACACTCAGAATTTACCCACAGGAAAAGAGAAAGATTTTCAGTGTCTGTGGCTGGAGGAGCCTCAGACTGGCAGAGTGTGCCCCGTGTGTGCCCAGTGTGTCCAGTGTCCCCTGGGCTCTGTCCAGGCTGTGTGTCCAGTGTCCCCTGGGCTCTGAGCCGTGTGTCCAGTGTCCCCTGTGCTCTGAGCCGTGTGTCCAGTGTCCCCTGGGCTCTGTCCAGGCCATGTGTCCAGTGTCCCTTGTGCTCTGAGCCGTGTGCTCTGCGCTGTCCCTGAGGAAGCCTGGCCTTGTCCCCTCTATGGGGCTGCTGAAGGAGGATGAGCAGGTTCCAGCAGGAGCCAGGGCCGTTTCCAGCTGGTCCCACACGGTCCTGATGATGGGAAAGTGGTGTGGCCACGCCAGCAGGGACAGGTCAGGTATGGGGAGTAGCTCACCTGCAGGGCAGGACCAGGGTGATGGCAGTGCCTGTTCTGTCTCTGGTGACAGCTCTGGGGACAGGGCTGGTCTGGGCTGAGCCCAGCTGAGCCTGGGTGGCCGTGGGGGCTCCATGGGAAGGGGCTCCTCCTTCTCCTGGGTGGGAGCAGGCTGGTCTGTGTCCCCCACTCCGCTCCATGTCCCCGCTCCACTCTGTGTCCCCTGCTCCCTGTCCCCTGCTCTGTGTTCCCCACTCCATGTCCTCCGTGTCCCCTGCTCCGTGTCCCCTGCTGTCTCCTGCTCTATTTTCCCCTGCTCCATGTCCTCCAATCCATGTTCCCCACTCCGTGTCCCTCTGTCCCCCCCATTCCCAGTCCCCCACTCCTTGTCCCCCATTCCGTGTCCCCTGCTCTGTGTCCCTATCCCCTGCTCCATGTCCCCCACTCTATGTCCCATGTCCCCCACTCCGTATCGCCCACTCCGCTCCGTGTCCCCTCTCCATGTGCCCCGCTCTGTGTCCCCGTCCCCTGCACTGTGTCCCCTGCTCCATGTCCCCTGCTCCGTGTCCTCCCTTCCGTGTTTCCATCTCCCCTCGCTCTGTCCCCTGCTCCGTGTCCTCAGTGTCGCCCACTCCGTGTCCTCTGCTCTGTGTCCCCATCTCCGTGTCCCCTGCTCCATGTCCCCCGCTCCGTGTCCCCTGCTTTATGTCCTCCGTGTCCCCTGCTCCATGTTCCCTGCTCTGTGTCCCTGTCCTCCACTCTGTGTCCCCTGCTCCGTGTCCTCCGTTCCGTGTCTCCATCTCCATGTCCCCTCACTCTGTCCCCCGCTCCATGTCCCCCGCTCTGTGTCTCCTGCTCCATGTCCTTGGTGTCCCCCTCTCTGTGTCCCCATCTCCATGTCCCCCTCTCCCTGTCCCCTGCTCTGTCCCCCACTCTGTGTCCCCATCTCCCGCTGGTGCCGGGTGCCCCAGGATGGAGGGAGGGAGGGAGGCAGCAGCAAACCCCACCGCTGGGGCACTTTTTGGGGATGGAGGCATGGCTGGAGCTCGGTGTTTTCTGTTCTGGAGCTGAGGGCAGTGTGGTGACAAAGCCATCGAATCGTCTCTTCAGGGAAACGGGGATTGTAAAAGCAGACTTAATTTTGTGCTTCRCTTTGGTACCAAAGAGCTGATTTCTGAAACCATTTCCCAGCTCGCAATACATCTCTAGGCATTAAAATGTTGTGAATTTGCTTGTCATTACCAATATTTTCTTTGACTGAAGCTATTGAAACAAAGTGATCTTTTTTTTTTTTCCCTATAACCTTCAATCTTGCTTTTAARGCAGTAGCTCTCTTTTTCTTTCTTTCTTGGTCAAATATAAAAATGATGATAATTTCAAATACTGCTTTAGAATAATTGCTTTCCTCCCTCTTTTGTATGACAACAGAAGCTTGGCCTGATCTTAAATCAGATGCTGGCAGGCAGAGGGCTCTTGACAGCCCTGCAAAATCCTTTAGTTACAAGTCGGCTTTAGCCAATTCTTTATTTGTAAATGACAATTTTCTACAGAAAAATATATGCTTGGGCTTCAATTTCGAAACCCTAGATTGCAGCCAGGAAAAAATAATTGAATTTTTACACTTCTTCTTTTCCTCTCCTCTCTTTTTCTTCCTAACTTAAAAAAATCCCAAACGAAATAAGTGAGGCTCTGTAAGGTGTGATTTGAGCTGATTGAGGGGAATGTGTGCATGGCCATGAGGAAAGGAGGGATGATGAATTTGTTCTGTGCTGGGAGGGTTTGGGGCTGTTCAAACTTTGTATCCACCATGGAGGCTTTGCCTGGGGTGGTGTGGTGGGACAGGGTGGTCCTGGGGTGGAGCAGTTCTGGATGTCCTCATGACCCTACAGATCTCATAAAAGGCATCTTCAGTGTCTTCAGTGAAAAATATGAAAGTGATAAAGCGTCCAGCTGCCTGTGTG